GAACGAACTTAAACCTGTGTGAATTGTAATAGTTGTCGGTCGTTTCAATAATCTGTCGTATTCCGTCCTTTTACGTTTCAGGAAAATCCCTCTTTCTATAACTTAGCAGTATGTCTGCTTTCAGTCTGATTTCCTCGCCTCTCCAAGTTCTCGTTCAGTTAAATTTTCATCTCACCATCATCAAAATTTATTTTTCTCCGCCGGGAACTTCATCTACCAAAACGGAACATTCGGAGCTTGATAAAACTATTTTTTTTCATATAAAATTAATTAAAATCGTAACTAGTTGGATAAAACCTTCCATTTCTGCGAGAAGTGTGAAGTCGTAACTTCGTAAGTTTCTGAGGTAACCAGCCCCCAAGATTCATTGCAAGTACCAGACTCCGCGCGAATACAAGATGTACTCGGTACTAAAACAGCATACTCTGCCGCCTTCGCCCTGGACCTAATGAAGAAAGAGAAAAAAGAAAGGGATTGAAATCTTAGCGCGTGAGCTGATCATACGCATTCATTCACTTAGTACTGTTTATTACGCTTTGCAGGGTAATTATTTTAAGTCTGTAAATAGAAGTCTACTTCATGGCCATTCAGGTGAAAGTTGCTACGTGCTTTTATGTGGTACTAGTCGATATGCTGTGCAGCAATGTTTTTCCTTTCAAGTCTGTTGATGAAATGCGACGTGAATGAAATGAAACCTCCTAAGATAGAGAAGTACTTTCCCATAGTACCATGGTTGCCACAAGCAAATATTTTTTTTATTTTCTTGGAAAGCCAACATCAGCTTGTCGTTGTATTATTTTATTCGCGAACCAAAATGAACTTGTATTGCAAGTGAGAAAGATATGCTGGGAAGGAATCTATCAATTGTACTAAACATTTACGCAAGAGTAACACTGATAACACAAGAAGTTTCAGCATCTTCATCTCAAAAGACTTCAAGACAAGATGAATAAGTTCATATTTCTTGAGATTTCACTCAGTTTTTCCCGACTTCTTCCAACGATGTGAAATTCCCTGCCTCTGGTCTGAGCTTGAAAAACTTTGTATTTCCCTGACTTTCCCTGACCTGTTACAACCATGGGTACTGTTTATCACCCCGAAAAAGGTTGCTTTTCTGACAAAACCCTGGCGTGTGATCATTTCGATAGAAGATTCTGGACAGTACTTCGATGCGATAAAGTTTATCACAGTTTATCACGGTTTAAAGAGTTGAGTTCATTTGAGCTGGCCTGACGCCAGTCGGACTCTCGTTTAGCACCTTGTACCTTCTTATTTACTACTCATGTACGACCCAAAGAAAACACCACTTACCGATACCCGTTCTCCCGACAGGTCTGTAGCCTGGGTCCTTAGCCAATCTAATATCTTCCATAACAAAAATTGTTTCCTCTGAAAACAATAACGTCAAAACACTGGTTGTTAGGCTCTGTTTTAACGAAAAACAAGCGGGAGAGATGGTTTTACGCTACTGACTTTTAAAATCTTTTGGTATATA